AAGTAGTGTAGTAGTATTTACTAGAATTTTGTTTATTATTTGTTTAAAAATGAATGTGAGTGAGATACAGGCCCTTAAAGTTTTCTTAATCGGAGGAAATTCCGGTAGGTACGGCCCTGGCTTCAGCCTTCCGTCAGCTGTTCCCGCCAAACATCGTTTGTCCTAAAACATATCTTCCTAACATTATTCTAATGTATCAGCCCGCCTTCGGCGGGCAGGGGCATTAAACAAACTCGAGTCTGTCATACATCTACCTAACTAAACAATGACGTCATCAATGCATATTTGGCGAGAACAGCTGACGAAGGGCTGCAGCCAGGGCCGTACCAATCGAAATTTCCTCCGATTAAATAACTTTAGGAGCCTGTATCTCAAGCTACATTGGTTTCCGCACGGAATTAATGCTACCACACGATTCTACTTGGTCAGTACTACCTACCTGACTAAACTTCATGTCTCAATTCCAATGTCAACTAATGTAAAAAATAACCCTAATTTTCATTATACGGCAAATATCATGAACCAACAAATTCAAATTAGGCGCTTTTTGTATATATGTTTTAACAATCGTAAACAAATCACAAATGACAAATGGTTGATGGTTTTTCGATAGTTAACAATCATTTTTGATACAATAAGCAATGCTGGAGAGAAAAGCAACTACTCATTGGCTATTTATAAGGCAACTACGAATTATCGGTACCAGTTGCCATGTAGTTTAATGTTTTTTTGTAGAGAAATTTGCTATCAAAGGCTCAAGGATAATGAGATGCATACAAGCAACAAAAAATATATTACCTTACTCTTGTCAGTTGATTTTTCACTCACATTTTAGTATAAACGCACGTACACATCACTTTCTTAAAAATATGACCGATTTACCAAAATTTTTTCCTGTTCTCCTTTAGTGTTTAGTGTTGTTGACCTTGTTACCCAAAGAGTGATTTTTTTTGTTTTTCTGTTGAGAGGGCGCAACGCAAACTGAACAACAATTTAGCATTCATCCACTAGGTGGCAAACTACTACTACTACTCCTAAACCCTTATGCAACCCAAAAGCCGAGTCTGTTTGCTGGGAAACATATCAATATCGCACTTTTTTCAAAAAATTAACTTTCAAAAAGACAGGCATAATGGCTCAATAATTTCAATTAAATAAAATACAAAGATAATAAACATTTGAAAAAAATAAATTATTTTTAAATACGTGTCCTATATGAAGACAAAATTGTTGCAATGTATACTTATTTCTGAATAAAAAATTAAAGAGCGAAGCGCGTTTTATTTACAGATTTTAAAAATACGTAAAAAATATGCAAATGTTTCGAATGTTTTTAACAATTTTCACATTTTATTTTATTTCGTTCTCAGAATTTGCAGTCATATTTCGAATACATGCTCCTTATTTCTGGAAATCAAATGTGATAAAAATTCGAATAAATACTAGGATTCTTTTATTGAATAAAACTAATTTACAAATTAAATAATTTATTTGCAAATTATTAGGAATAAAACGAAAAAACTGAATGAAAATACCTAATATAAAATTAATACAGTTGTTATTAAAAGAAATTATAATAAACATGCATATAAATTAATTAACTGCAGTAGTTGTAAAAAAAATGTTGATTGGATTTTTTCATTTGTATTAAAAGAAAAAGAGCCACTCTCAGTTTTAATTGACATTAGTCAGGTAAAATGAAAATGACAAAAAAAATGCTTAGCAAGCGTTAGAATGATTAAATGGGTTTGATTTGGACGATTGTCTTATTTGGGCGCCGTTAGGGATCACAAAAGGTGAAAATTTGTTTGAAAATTTGAATTGTTAATAGAGTAGCGAAAATTCTTATAAAGGATGTATTAGACCCACTATAAAGTTTATTGCTTTTTCTTCTGCTATGAAGAACCGGGCATAAGAAGTACAAGTGTTTTTTAAAAATTACGAAGATTTAAAATGTAAGTTTACCATTCATTTCCTAATTTCATTAGAATAACAAGCAGGTGACTGTGATGCAATTTTTAGTAAGAAAAAAAAATTGGTGTCTAATTAACATAAATATTCATTTTTTACTAAATATTTTTAGTCTTATTTTGCCATCGCAATTTATCTAATTAGGTCAGTGATTACCTAAAGAAAATTGACTAATAATAATAGTAATAATAGTTGACGACTTAACAATCATGGACGCAAATAATGTGGGGAGTCCCTTGTTAAAGTAAACGATTTAAAAAATTTATAAAAAATATTGTACTTACGCATAAAACTATGGTTTCAAAAGTTTTTCTGATTGTTTTGTCTCGGATTTAATTTTTTTTCTCGTGCTAGAATAAAGATAGAACGTTTGGCAGGACATAATTTGGTAGGATAAAAAAATAGGGAATTCATGTGAGGTAGAAAATGAGATAAGAACATAAAAGGTTAAAATAATAAGAGGAAAACATATAATGGGAAATAAATAATCTATTAATTTAATTTTCATGCAATTATTATTAAATAATGAATTTTTAGTTTTATTATTCACATGAAAAAACGACACCATGATGACACGACCTTATGCATCGTCTGTAACAGTCCAAACATTGGAAGTTCTCACAGAAACGAACAATAAAAACACGAAGAAGTTCATTTCAACCTGCAAAGAAAGCGAAGAGAAACAAAATGACATAAGAAAGAAATTTGAATTCGATTATTCAAAGTATTATTTTGGATCGCAACTTCGATGGTCAAATATTACATTTTTAATCATTTTACACATATTAGCTATCCACGGTCTTCTAAATTACGAGTATTTAAAGTCAAAACACCACGTTTACTTAGTCCTTTGGTGTAAGTCCTTTTTTTTTCATTTTCAAAAGACTATGGGAATTACAGTAGGAGTTGTATGTTTTAGCCTATTGGACAGGGTTTATGGGGGGCGTCGGTGTCACAGCGGGGGCGCATAGATTGTGGTGTCATCGGGCATATAAGGCTAAACTGCCCCTAAGGATATTCCTGATGGGACTTTATTGTATGGCTGGTCAGGTGAGACAGAATTTTATTTTTAAAATTTCTTTCAAAAAAAAAAGAAAATACAGTACATTTCGGGTATATGAAGGTATCCTGTAATTTCGTCATTATATCCGGAAGTCGTTACAGATACAGTATACACGTATGTATAGTTTTCACCATTTTTCAATTTTAAAACTAACAGTCGCTATATCCGAAGTCGCTAAAGCCACATGAATTTTGTATTAAAGTCTGCTTTAAATTGATGATCGCTATAACCAACTATCGGCTGTTACATAATTCAAAAATTTTAGAATACTTTGTACGAATGGGTAAGGGATCACCGTATACACCACAAATTTAGTGAAACTAACGCAGACCCACACAATTCCAAACGCGGTTTCTTTTTTTCACACATCGGCTGGTTAATGATCAAAAAACATCCCGAAGTAATCGAAAAAGGACGTCAATTAGACCTTAGTGACCTCGAGGCTGACCCTGTTGTCAGATTCCAACAAAGGTAGGCAGGGAAATCCCCTCTATCTAATTAATATTTGTTAATATGTATAGATCAGAACATTATTATCACTATTATAAGTTACCATTTTTAGGTACTTTACCGTTTTGAAACTGATGTTATGTTTTGTTTTGCCGATTCTTGTGCCCCTTTATTTTTGGAATGTAAGCTGGTATTGGGCTGTAAGTTCTCAAGCTTTCGTAAGGTACACCATCAGTTTACATGCCACATTTTTGGTAAACAGTGCCGCACATATGTGGGGCAATAGGCCCTACGACAAGTAAGTCGAAATTTTTTATTCGTTAGCGCATTACTGTCTTTCTAACTACGAACTTCCGGTGTTACATCTGTACTTTTTACCATTTACCTGCACGTGATGAGGCAATGTAAGAAAACAAGTCCGGAACCAGATTTAGAACGTGACCTATTTTGTATTTCGCAATAATTGTTTATAGAATTTTAAACAATAGAATTTACATCCGAAATTACCTTTCTACAACATTTAGTTTTTAACAGAAATACGTATCATTATTGAAATGAACTTCCTGACGAATTATATTGAAGTTTAGCGCCACTAAAATTAACAAAATGTTATGCCTCTATTTTTGTTTTCAATTTCTAATATCAAACGTACAGTTTTTTCGGTCTCATTACCATAATTTAATTCATGTGGCACAATTAAAAATTTGAACCAAATATTCTTTAAATCGTATTATACTATAAATTTATGCAATTACTGGTAAATATGAAACAAATCCTTCTTGAATTTGTCATACAAACAAACATGTAGTTTAGGTTTCTCATGCACAACATGTTTACGGCCAATAGCATTATATTGAAAAGTATTCCATTCGATTGTTACTGAAATTTTACGAAAACATTCCTCTTTCAGTTTTTTGATCCCATGCATGAGATATTAAGGCTTAAAGTGTAGTATAATCTATAACTCGTTAACAACAAATATAATTCAAAAAGTACAAAGGAAGATATTTTATAGGGTGTGTTCCGAAATATAATCCAGAATACGGGTCAGTGCTGATGATGTCATGAATCGACGCCATATTGTACTGGTGTGTCACCATATTATACTGGTGGAACAAGTGTGTCGTAACAGTATATCAAACGGGCGTGTGTGCTTCAGAGTTTGGACAATATTTTATTGTAATAAACGTTAATAACTTTTGGAGCAACATTGTTGTGAACGAGCACAAATACTAATCTCAATATGGCGTCAATTAGATGTCAACGCACTGGCCAGTATATTTCGGAACGAATCAACAGTATGGCGTCGATTCACGACGTCATCAGCACTGGCCAGTATACCGGGTTATATTTCGGAACACACCCATATAGTTTTGTAACGAATCAAAGGGGTTGCTTTTCATATATTTTTAGATCATAAAATAGATGTTGTACACTTACTTACCTTTTTTTCGTCGATTAGGAGGATAAGACCGGTAGAAAACTTGACTGTTGCCATTTGGAGTGCTGGGGAGGGTTGGCATAATTATCACCACACGTTTCCATGGGATTATAGGGCATCTGAAATGGGAAAGTATAATCCCACGACATTTGTCCTTGACATTTTTGCGAAACTTGGTCTCGCTTACGACATGAAGGCTCCCTCGCAAACGTTGGTGAAACAAATTGCAGATAAACATGGAGATGGATCGTGGGGTGATCAAGAAATATCTGAAAAAGACGCAGCTGCATTACTAAAACAAACGTGATTTTTAAAAACGAAATACGTAATTGTGCAGTTGAGTCAATTTCGGAAGGCGAAGTCTGTAATAAATTATTGAACTGATAGAGAACTCTTGTCCATTTAGTTTGATACAATAATTTACTATAGACGTCGCCTTCCGAAATTGACTCAACCGACTATTTATATGTACAATATTATAAATGCATAGCGCGGCCTGGGGCTGCATTTTAGAATGTATTTATTTGTGTATATTATCTACAGTTTAAATTTATAAAAATTAAAATTTGTTGAAGTTAATTGTTTTCCAAATTTTGGCTCCTCCTAGCAGCCGTCCTAGGTTTTAGTACGTAGCTAGACAAAACTGACCTAATCCTAATTAATAGTATAAATGTATGAATATGAGTTTGTTTGTTACTATTTCACGTCTTAATTACTTAACCGATCAACATGAAATTTTGTACACGCATTCTCAGGTGTATAAACCCTAGGGTACGTTTTATTCAGACAAAAGATACTGTTCAGGAGGAATTCGTAGGGTAGTTGATGGTCTTCAACACATATTGTGGACATCAAAGCGAGAGAAGCCGAGGGTAAAACCTATCATGAAATTTTTTACACATATTGTAAGGGGTACAGAAAAGGACATAGGGTACCTTTTATCCAGAAAAAATATGCTGTTCCTGAAGGATAGAAAGATTAGTTTTATGTGGTCGTCAATGATTTTTGACACATATTTAGAACATCAACCCGAACGAAGAAGCGAGTAAAACCTATCTTGAAATTTTGTACATACATTGACAAGGGTACAGAAAAGGGCATAGGGTACCATTTATCCTGAAAAAAATACTGTTCCCGAAGGATAGAAAAAAATTAATTTTATGTGGTTTGATACGGTAGCGAAGCCGTAGATAAAACCTATCATGAAATATTGTACATACATTGTCAGGGGTACAGAAAAGGACATAGGGTACCATTTATCCTGAAAAAATATGCTGTTCCTGAAGGATAGAAAGATTAGTTTTATGTGGTCGTCAATGATTTTTGACACATATTTAGAACATCAACCCGAACGAAGAAGCGAGTAAAACCTATCTTGAAATTTTGTACATACATTGACAAGGGTACAGAAAAGGGCATAGGGTACCATTTATCCTGAAAAAAATACTGTTCCCGAAGGATAGAAAAAAATTAATTTTATGTGGTTTGATACGGTAGCGAAGCCGTAGATAAAACCTATCATGAAATATTGTACATACATTGTCAGGGGTACAGAAAAGGACATAGGGTACCATTTATCCTGAAAAAATATGCTGTTCCTGAAGGATAGAAAGATTAGTTTTATGTGGTCGTCAATGATTTTTGACACATATTTAGAACATCAACCCGAACGAAGAAGCGAGTAAAACCTATCTTGAAATTTTGTACATACATTGACAAGGGTACAGAAAAGGGCATAGGGTACCATTTATCCTGAAAAAAATACTGTTCCCGAAGGATAGAAAAAAATTAATTTTATGTGGTTTGATACGGTAGCGAAGCCGTAGATAAAACCTATCATGAAATATTGTACATACATTGTCAGGGGTACAGAAAAGGACATAGGGTACCATTTATCCTGAAAAAATATGCTGTTCCTGAAGGATAGAAAGATTAGTTTTATGTGGTCGTCAATGATTTTTGACACATATTTAGAACATCAACCCGAACGAAGAAGCGAGTAAAACCTATCTTGAAATTTTGTACATACATTGACAAGGGTACAGAAAAGGGCATAGGGTACCATTTATCCTGAAAAAAATACTGTTCCCGAAGGATAGAAAAAAATTAATTTTATGTGGTTTGATACGGTAGCGAAGCCGTAGATAAAACCTATCATGAAATATTGTACATACATTGTCAGGGGTACAGAAAAGGACATAGGGTACCATTTATCCTGAAAAAATATGCTGTTCCTGAAGGATAGAAAGATTAGTTTTATGTGGTCGTCAATGATTTTTGACACATATTTAGAACATCAACCCGAACGAAGAAGCGAGTAAAACCTATCTTGAAATTTTGTACATACATTGACAAGGGTACAGAAAAGGGCATAGGGTACCATTTATCCTGAAAAAAATACTGTTCCCGAAGGATAGAAAAAAATTAATTTTATGTGGTTTGATACGGTAGCGAAGCCGTAGATAAAACCTATCATGAAATATTGTACATACATTGTCAGGGGTACAGAAAAGGACATAGGGTACCATTTATCCTGAAAAAATATGCTGTTCCTGAAGGATAGAAAGATTAGTTTTATGTGGTCGTCAATGATTTTTGACACATATTTAGAACATCAACCCGAACGAAGAAGCGAGTAAAACCTATCTTGAAATTTTGTACATACATTGACAAGGGTACAGAAAAGGGCATAGGGTACCATTTATCCTGAAAAAAATACTGTTCCCGAAGGATAGAAAAAAATTAATTTTATGTGGTTTGATACGGTAGCGAAGCCGTAGATAAAACCTATCATGAAATATTGTACATACATTGTCAGGGGTACAGAAAAGGACATAGGGTACCATTTATCCTGAAAAAATATGCTGTTCCTGAAGGATAGAAAGATTAGTTTTATGTGGTCGTCAATGATTTTTGACACATATTTAGAACATCAACCCGAACGAAGAAGCGAGTAAAACCTATCTTGAAATTTTGTACATACATTGACAAGGGTACAGAAAAGGGCATAGGGTACCATTTATCCTGAAAAAAATACTGTTCCCGAAGGATAGAAAAAAATTAATTTTATGTGGTTTGATACGGTAGCGAAGCCGTAGATAAAACCTATCATGAAATATTGTACATACATTGTCAGGGGTACAGAAAAGGACATAGGGTACCATTTATCCTGAAAAAATATGCTGTTCCTGAAGGATAGAAAGATTAGTTTTATGTGGTCGTCAATGATTTTTGACACATATTTAGAACATCAACCCGAACGAAGAAGCGAGTAAAACCTATCTTGAAATTTTGTACATACATTGACAAGGGTACAGAAAAGGGCATAGGGTACCATTTATCCTGAAAAAAATACTGTTCCCGAAGGATAGAAAAAAATTAATTTTATGTGGTTTGATACGGTAGCGAAGCCGTAGATAAAACCTATCATGAAATATTGTACATACATTGTCAGGGGTACAGAAAAGGACATAGGGTACCATTTATCCTGAAAAAATATGCTGTTCCTGAAGGATAGAAAGATTAGTTTTATGTGGTCGTCAATGATTTTTGACACATATTTAGAACATCAACCCGAACGAAGAAGCGAGTAAAACCTATCTTGAAATTTTGTACATACATTGACAAGGGTACAGAAAAGGGCATAGGGTACCATTTATCCTGAAAAAAATACTGTTCCCGAAGGATAGAAAAAAATTAATTTTATGTGGTTTGATACGGTAGCGAAGCCGTAGATAAAACCTATCATGAAATATTGTACATACATTGTCAGGGGTACAGAAAAGGACATAGGGTACCATTTATCCTGAAAAAATATGCTGTTCCTGAAGGATAGAAAGATTAGTTTTATGTGGTCGTCAATGATTTTTGACACATATTTAGNTATCCATTTCCAAGGAGTTTAGATTTTTTGGGCTCTCTTCAGATAAATTTTTAAGCTTCTATTACCTTCAATGGCCAATGTGAGCAATTTTCATTTATCATTTTTAATAATGTTTGATCTGTGATATTAGCAGAACTTTTAACTGCAAAAATGTGAGTTTTCAAAACCTTCTCCCTCATGTATAATCGAAGGCGGAACGCGATTGCAACTATTTTTCTTATTTCTATTATCTGTAAATAAGGGTTAAAGAAACCCTTTCCCTTGGATTGCTATTTTCAATTTCAAAAAGCAGTGCTCGTTGCAATGGCGGCTAACAAGCAAACTTTTACAAAATTTTAGAAAATACTACAAATGGTGCAGTAAACGCCACCTGTAGCGCGATGCTACATTTTAGGATTACGTATTATTAATTATTTTATTCGAATTATTTTACAAAATTTGTAAATTTTATATTGTCTTTATTTATACCNACGGTAGCGAAGCCGTAGATAAAACCTATCATGAAATATTGTACATACATTGTCAGGGGTACAGAAAAGGACATAGGGTACCATTTATCCTGAAAAAAATACTCATCCCGAGGGATAGTTTTATGTGGTTTCGGTTTCGGCAGCGAAGCCGTGGGTAAAACCTATCATGAAGTTTGGTACACACATTGTCAAGGGTACAGAAAAGAACATAGGGTACCTTTTATCTAAAACAAAGGTAATGTTCCTGGGAATGGAAAGAATTAGTTTTATGTGGTCGTCAATGATTTTTGACATGTAATTAGGGGAATCAATGCGAGCAAACCCGTGGATAAAAGCTAGTATTAATATAAATCTACCCAGAAGGTTTACTTAAAAGTATTGGTACGACTGCGGTCATACAGATAGTGAAACATTAAATTTCCATGATACGTACACGTAAAATTATATGTATCGATCTTCATAGTATCCTAACACACCTAGTACATCACCATGACTGAACCCACTTCAAACCTTCCCTTAGCTACAATTGCTTATGGCGTCTCACGGGGGACGTCGACGACGGTTGGCCCCCAACCCCCTTCTTATGGCGACGAGCTTGCTTGCAGTTATTAAACTTGTACGAAAAAACAAGAAAAAGAAATTTTCATTATCCAAATGATAATATTTCATCAGTTCACACGGGAAAATTGTAAGACATTTCCTCCTTAAAAAACATATTAATAAAAGTTAAAATAACTGATAAGGACAAAGAAAGGTTAATTATAATACGAACTAATTAGAATTCAATGGAAATAGAAGATAATGCCTGACCATTTTCTTTATTTAAATAATTCTACGAACAATTAAATTGCAAAGGAAAAACACAATGAAATGAAGTCAACATGTGTTAGATTTGGACAATGTCTTGCGTAATAGCTTATTAAAGGTTCCAATGGCGGTATTTCAATAGTTTCGGAAAGTTTTACACGTGTAATTTTTATTGCAATTCTTTCGTATTAATTAACAAAAGAAATTTTTGCATAATCAATTTTCACATTTAATAACAAGACTATTTTAACATTTCAACGTAAATCTGTAACTATTCCAACGAATAAATGATTAATTAGGTAGCGTTCATCAACCTTTCTTAAATTATGAAACTAATTACAGTTCGTCTGATCACCTATGTGCATTAGTTGATTGGACATTAATTAACAAACACGAATTGCAATACCATAAAGAGGCATTGCTAATAATATCATCAACACAAAGCTGTAAAGGTTTTGTTGAAAGTGATTAATAAAGTTGCATTTGATTATTTATACGTATAGTAGACAGACCTGATCGTAGTGGCGTAATTAATTTCTGGCGCGCCCCTCGAAAAATCTCTCTGCACCCTTTTTTTTAAAAAAAAAAAACAAACACAAATATGGGTATCAAATACAGATGCAGTAGATAGTGATTTTGCCGTTTTATTTTAAAACTATTTAAATACAAAATGCTATGATTTGTTAATTCAAATGTAAAATACAAAATAGATTTCCCTTTTGTATTTTAAATGCTACATGCCAAATACGTATTTTCGAAATACTTGTTTCAAATAAATCCTTTTTTGTAGTATCCATTTGAGTAATTTTTTACATTTACTTAAGCATAAAATATTTTTTAAGAAACCCTTGCAGGCATTTGCTCATTTTTTAAATATTGAAGTGTTTCTACACTAGAAGTGGTGTTTGCACTATATCACCAGTTGGGAAGATCAAGTATGATTAATATTTTTCTGTTTGAAGTGATTGATATATAGTTTTTCTATCTTTATGTTATAGTTTCTTCAGTTCAGCATCAAATAATTCTTCTATATGCTTCCTTATTTGCTTTTGTCACCCGTTTTAATTGAAAAAAAAAAACACTGATGCCAAAATAGTTTGCTTAGCGTGAAACATCAGAGCCAAAATAGGGTAGTCAATAATTTTATTGATATAAAATCAACATCGATCATTTTATATCAAAATATTTACAACCCCATTTTGTTTCTGATCTTTTACAGATTGTAATAAGAGAAAGACATGGAATCCATGGTTTCTTTAGCTTTGGGTTCATCTAATAAGTGAAGTTTTCCGAATTGTTTTGGATTATATGCATTTATTAGCACACCACAATAACTTGTAGTTTTCAGTTCGATATTGTTTTGCGGGCCGTTTTGTCGTAATCCATAGAATTTCGTAGTTCCTTGCTAAAGGTGGTGATTTGATAGGTGCTGATATCAATTCAGAACTTCAAAACTCCATTGAACATTACAATGAACCCGGAAAACAATATCGATCCAATA